TTGTGTTTGACATGTGATGACATTGATGAATATTGTAGGTTTAGTATAACAGGTCGAGGTTTAAGTCTTTGAAAAATAGTATATATGTATGTTTGATAAGTTATTCCTTTTTCCTTTTTATAGATTTATTTTTTGTTGATACTTTTCTATTCAACCCATTTATCTCCAAACTCATTGACGAGAGATTTGTCGAACGACATTTCAATTCAGCAATCTTTGTGGACACGATACGATATAACCTATATCACCCAGTAAATTAATACTTTACTTTTTACTTGTCGCTTTACCGCTTCAGCAAACTCCTTTAGAGATACAATCTCTGAAGGTGTTGTGCTTTCTTCTTATTTGATGTCTTTTACCAATATAATAACGATTCTAAATTTTTGCAATAACCGCGGTACTATCACAGTGGATCACACAGCTGGCATAGGTTTTTCCCATAAAGGGATCTCAGCTAGCAAGCATCTTAACCAACTTGCTTCTTCACTAGTTGTGGCTAGTGCTATCATCTCATACTCCATTATGAACTGAGCCAAGATGGTCTGTTTCTTTGATTTTCAAAATACAGCTCCTCCAACTATACTAAATATATAGCCACTAGTAGCTTTGGAATCATCCAATAAGGTATTTCAATCTGCATCATTGTATCCTTCAAGTATAGCAGGAAATCTCTGATAATGCAAACTGAGATTCACGGTCTTTTTAAGGTATCGCATGACTCGCTCAATATCTTGCCAATGTTCATTACTAGGTCTACTAGTAAACCTGCACAACGATCCTACGACATATGCAATATCGGTCTAGTACAGTCAGTGGCATACCTAAGACTGCCAATGATGCTTGCATATTCTGTCTATCTAACACTTTCACCAGTGTTCTTAAAGAGTTCCATGCTTGGATCGTATGCTGTGCTCGCATGTTTACAGTCAAAGTAATTATATTTCTTTAAGATCTTTTCCATATAGTGTGATTGATCCAAAGAAATTCCTTTCCCATATCTTGTGATCTTGATTCCAAGAATCACACTCGCTTCTCCGAGGTCTTTCATATCAAAGTTGTTGCACAACAATGATTTCATATCATTAATGGCCTGAATATTTGATCCAAATATGAGTAGATCGTCTACATATAGACATATGATAGTGCAAATGCGATTTTCATATTTGTAATAAACGTATTTGTCATTTTCTTTCACTTTGTACCCATTCGATATCATTAAGTTATCAAACTTTTCGTGGCATTGCTTAGGAGCTTATTTTAGTCCATACAAAGACTTGTCTAACTTACAAACCTTGTCTTCTTTTCCATGGATCACAAACCCTTCCGGTTATTCCATATAGATTTCTTCTTCTAAGTCACAATTTAAAAAAGTTATTTTAACATTCATTTTGTGTACTATTAAGTTATAAATATCAGCTATTGAAATAAGTACCCTAATGGATGTAATTCTAGTGATTGGAGAAAAGGTTTCAAAGAAATCTATATTTTCTCTTTGTCTAAAACCCTTGACTACAAGGCGAGCCTTGTATTTATCAATAGTTCCATCAGATTTTAGTTTCTTTTTTAAAACCCATTTACAACCGATTGGTTTGCACCCAGGAGGAAAGTCTACCAAGTGTCAGGTCTTGTTAGATTCTAGAGATTTTATCTCATCATTAATAGCTTCTTTCCATAAATCAGCATCCAGAGATGACAAAGTTTTTTGAAGATTTATTGGATCTTATTCTACATTATAAGTCGCATAATCGGGCTCATAGTCTTTAACAACTCTTACTCTTTTACTTCGTTGAAGTTCTGTTTCTACATTGTCGTTGCTTTCTGTGTTTCTTATCACAGGAATGTGACTCGATTGTGTGCCCCCGCTATTTCTCAATTTGAAAGGAAATTTATCTTCATAGAATTCAACATCATTTAATTATATGACCACTTTTGCATTTAGGTCATAAAACCTATATGCTTTATTGTTTGCTGCATACCCAATGAATACACATTCATATGCTCTACTAGCGAGTTTAACTCGTTTCACATATGAAATTCTGACATAAACCAGACAGTTCCAAGGTCTCAAATAAGACAAGTTTGATTGTCTTTTCTTTAATATCTCATAAGGAGAGATCTTACTTTTTTACTTGGAAACTCTATTCAGGACATAGCAAACAGTCAATAAAATTTCTCCCCGCCAGTGAGGTACAATACCAGAGTTAATCATAATTGCAATAACAAGTTCAGTGAGAGTTATATTCTTTCTTTATGCTTTACCATTCATTTCAGGAGAATATGGAGCAGTCGTTTCATGCATAATTCCATGTTCTTTATAAAAATCATTAAATAAATCAGAATCATATTCAGTTTCCCTATCACTACGAAGTCTCTTAATCTTCTTACTAAGTTGATTCTAAATTTCAGTTACATACATCTTAAACATGTCAAGCGCTTCACTTTTATTTTTCATTAAGTATACATAAGTATAATCAGAACAATCGTCAATAAAAGTGATAAAATAACATTTATTATTTCTAGTTAAAGTTCAATCTAATTACATGTGTCAGAGTGTATAAGATCTAGGAGATCAGGTTCTTTAATAATTGATTTATGTGAAGCCTTAGTTATTTTAGCTTGACTACAATATTCACATTTATTTGAATCATTGACATTTAATTTAGGGATTAGACATAAGTTGCTTGCATTAGAAATAACTCTCTTATTAACGTGACAAAGTCTAGCATGCTAAATATTAAAATCACACAAAGAGTAAACAGAACGAGAAATTTTATTCAAAATAACATTCAACTTAAACATGCTATCAGTGGCGTACCATTTTCCAACAAAAATACCATTCTTAGTGATGGTGTACAAATATTCCTCTATAGACTGACCAAACCCTGCCTTATTCAAAAGAAAACCAGAAACAAGATTCTTTCTAAGTTCAGGGACATGCATGACGTCCTTCAAGATTAAAGTCTTTCCTGAGGTGAAGTTCAACTCAATGTCTCTAATTCCAACAACATCAGTGGTGTGAGCATCTCCCAACAACACTTTCTTATTTTCAGCATTCGTGTATATCTTGAACATAACACGATCATAGCAGACATGACGAGAGGCGCCCGTGTCTATCCACAAACCATCACTTCTATCAACCATGTTGATTTCAGTGATCATAACAATGAATTTCTCATCAATCAGGTTAACCTGTGCATTAGAGCCAATAGGTTTGGACCTGCTCTTACGTCTCTTAGCCATATGACCCAGTTTTCCACAATTATAGCAAGTGAAAGTTGGAGTGTCATTTATTTGAGTTGGTGGTTGATGTCTAGCAATCGGAGCAGATGGGCCCCTTGAGGGATTCTCATTCTTAATCTGATTCAAAACATTGTGGTTTTGATTCTTTAATAGTTTTCGCATAGGCTTTAACTAAGACTTCACCCTTCTGATCTTGTTTTCTAGCTTCCTTTTCAATTCAGAGGCGAGTGTTCAGACTCGGTTGAAAACTCTTTTGTTTTATGGCGAAGCACATTTTTGAAATCTTTCCAACCAGAGAGCAGTTTGTCAATGATAACAGCAATTTGAAATTGTTCATTGAGGGACATTTCTTTTGTAATGATTTCATGAGCAATCTTCTGAATTTCGTGGCTTTGAGCTTCCACAGATTTTTCATCCACCATCTTATAGTTCAAGTAGCGGCTGACAACATATTTCTTTGCACCTGCTTCTTCAGTATCGTATTTCTTCTGCAAAGTCTCTCATACCTATTTAGCAGTCTCATAATTACCATAGTAATCATATAGGTCGTCAGAGAGACTGTTCAGAATGTGGCTCTTGCATAGATAATCATTATCTTGCCATAGGGTGATTTCTTTCCTGAGCTGTAAATTATTTGTCGCAGCTTTAGCTTTTGCAGCAGAGTCTAAGTCAGACGATTTTGGAGTCCCGTCTGATTCCGCAGATGTCTGACCATTAGTTAGTTGAATTGATCCAGAAGGAGCAACAGGGATATCCTCAGTCAGAACGTGGGCATCCTTCTTTAAAGTTAAGAAAATTTTCATCTTAGCTTGCCAACGTTTGAAATTAGAACCCTCAAACTTAAATGATTTGTTAGAGACAGTAGCGGCCGCAGTAGTACCGATAATTTCCTTAATAGCCATGGCAGTTAAAGGAACGTCTTAAAATTGTTATTTTCGGTTTTTGAAAAGAAATTTGTCACGGAGAAAGTTATCGACTGAGTCGTGGAACAGTACATTTTCTTTAAGAAATTTCGCGGTACTGTCAAAATTATGCAAAGCAGCTCTTAATAACAACGACGCCTCCAGGATAAAACAGCTCGTTCACAAAAGGATTACGATTATCACTTGCACTGTGATGAATCGTTCAAAGAAATAAACCTTCAGATGGTGTTTAACCACTCGTCATATTTGAAAGAATATCAGTCGTAGATGGCACACAAAGGTCACTCGAAAAACAAAGAAGAAAGAATTTGTATTGAGATGAAGAGAGCACAGAGGGAGAAGAGAGATTCCAAAAATTTAAAAATTTGTCGTACCTTTACAATGAACTTATAAATCATATTATTAGGTAAATGATTCAACTAAGTGTAGAATAAATAGTGGGAGAGTAGAGAAAATAGTGGGAGGGAATTACTTAATCAAAATTAGGTTTTGATGTATGACTCATTATTAATTAATAATTAATTAATATTAATAATTAATTAACTCCCAACAAAATAGGATGACCCTTTCAATTCACATTAAGTTTCCAACACAAACTTTTGTCCTTAAATCAGTCTTATCTAGCGATCTCACTAAGAATATAGAAACTTTATTCATTCACCGAGGATGAGAAACCATCACGATAAAACTACTGAGTACTGAGTATATTTACACAAGACACCAGCCCAGGATTTATTCTCATCCTTTTGTTTTAATATATCATAATTATTGGTTTGCAAATTCACAGCTGAGGGAAATTCAAGTAATAACAAAATTTACAAAGTGTTCCAAAGTGTTCTAACTAGGACTAATATTTGCCTCAAACAAAATGCAGCTGTAAGACTTCATTTCATAAGTAGACAAACCTGATATTTGCTCTAGGACAAGATCACCATTGTTCAAGAAAAAGCCAGGAAATGGAAGAGCAGTATCGATTATGCGGTACCATGACATTCCTTCTGGAGGCAAGGGTAAAACTACAGTTTCTGGACGATCATCTGCATTGAAAGCAACAAATAGATCCCCTAATATATCAGAAGATACAGAGCTCTCTTGAAGCTCATTTCTTTCGGCCTTCAAAGTCATGGCTAGGAACTTGCAGGATGGATCTTCCCATCTTGGCGGAGCCTCGTCAATTCCTCGCCATTCAATGTTTTCTTCTTTTAAGAAGCTCCTACTCTGAAGAAGATCACTCCGCCTTATTCTCAAGGAAGTCAAAAAGGAAATAAATTGGGTGGTTTGTTTACCAAAACCTGTTTTTAAAGCAGCCCAGTTGAAGGGTTTTGTGTTACCATAGGCAAGAGAACCACCAGAGGAATGGCCACACTCATCTCCCATGTTTAAAATAGGTACTCCTAATGACACGAACAAGATGAATAGGAAATTGCGGATTTGTTTGAGTCGCCTTTCAAGGACATCAGTACTATTAGTAGGTCCTTCTTCTCCGCAATTCCAACTCAACTCAGCCGCACCGCTGAAGCTGACTAAGTCCACAAGTGAAAGTCCGAAATTACCGGCAACATAATTGAAAGAGTACGCAGGGCCTCTTCCATCGGAATACATGTCTCCGCTCCCACAAAGTCGTGTTGCAAGGTTGCTAAGAAGAGTTTCACCTCTAAGAAAATTCCTCACATCACTGCGGAAATTTGTATTTATTTCAGCCCATCTCATCCAATGAGGAAATCGAATCTCTTTCGCTTCCATGTCATTGGGAACCCAGCAATCTGCAATGATTTTAGTTTTCCACAGTACAGGATCGAAAGCAATTGCTTCAACCAAGGGAGGTCGAGACAAGTATTCTCCATGATACCCCCTCAACAAATGTGAAGCATTTACAAATGAGAAGCCATCAATGTGAAACTCAGTTACCCAATGCCTAAGGCTATCCAAAATCAAATTTTGCATTATAGGATAATTACAATTCAAAGCACTGTGTACCTTTAAACCACAAACACCATTTGCATAATAGTAAGATAAGTCATCAATACCTTGCAGAGCACCAACCTCGGCTGTATTGGAAAAAACAACTTCCATTATAACTTCTATTCCATTGGCATGCATAGTTTTCACCATCTCTTTCATTGAATTTATAGTAGATACAGGATCACCAGAAGGTCCATAAAGGTTTGTTGGAGAGAAAAAGTGACAAGGAAAATAAGGCCCCTTTTCCTCATCGAACGTGAAAACTGGCTCCAACAGAACAGCATTCACACCCAGATCTTTAAAATGCTGCAACTTCTTTGCCAAACCAGAAAATGTCCCAGCTAAGTCACCGGAAAGGTTACTTGACTCATGCTCGGTAAAGCGCTTCACATTCAACCTATACACCACTAGTTTCTCCATGTCCAAATTCGGATGATAATCATCACCCCAATCAAAAGCAGGTTCCTTTCTCAAAAATCCAAGGCTCTTCACCGACCCAATACCATTAGGAAACGAATTCCCAACAATTCTAGCATAAGGATCCAAAACAACACACTCAGCATAACTGTTATTGCTGTTAACTCCTCTAAAGCGATAACCATAGCTTACAAAAGTCTTTGCATTCTCCAAAGAGATATGCCATATATCACCTGACCTATTGACATACGGATCAAGATCAAGCTCCAAAGCAGGCTTCTTCACACCAGTGTCATCATTGTTATCATACAGACACAAAACCACACCCTCTGCATGCCTTGAAAAAACTGCGAAATTGATAGACCCATCAGGGAAAAAAGAGATCCCCAACGGAGACGGGCGACCCCGAATAAAACCAACAGGCACGCAAAAATTCCTTTTCAAATGGGTTCTGATTTCCAATCCAGACAATCTCAACAAAAAAGACAAGTAGAAAGGAACTTGTCCAACACCAAATTCCAATTCAACTGAAAATTTTCCAAGAGAATTTTTCACAAAGGGAATCACATTCATCCCTTTCCCAGAATCCACAGTTGAGGAATCATGACTATACACACCCCAACACAAGACAAATGTTTCCCTTTCAACGTTACTTAACTCTAAAGAAGAAACCTCAATATAAACAAAATAAGTATCTTTTTTCTTTTTGACATAAACTTTGACCAAACCTTCACCTATTTCTGTCCGAAACAAATAAGGCAATGCTGTTTTGATATCTTCTGATTGTTTCTGCTCAGTTTCTTGTATAGACAACCTTGATGACGTGGCACACAGCTTTGAAGTAAAATTCAAAGAAAAGGGTATTATGAGATCTTGCAAACTTTTACTAACAAGTTGGTTCTGATCCAAGGAAGTGTGAAAAAAGGAGCATTTGGTTTCATATTTATGCTGATTAAGTGGAATCACTGAAAATGAAAATGATGGCAAGAGATTTGTCATCTGAGTGCGAATTCAAGTGATTGAAGAGAAATTGAATAAAGGGGTGGATAGAAGATTGTGTTGTGGGTGTGGATGTAGAGTGTGTTGGTATATAATTCTGGGACCGCACAACACATCTAAGATTGTGTTATTGGTGGGGGTATAGGGACACTTTTGTTTTGGTTTTGGAGAATCACATTTCGTTGTTTTCCTCTAACTCATGCTCCTTACCGTTGGCTAAGCCAATCAACAATTATTCTCGATTGGAATATTTTTCTCAAACGACAAATATCTTAACTTTTCAGTGTTGCACTCTTTCTGAAAGGAACCAGATACTACTAGTACAAGAATATATAATAAAAACAATAAATATTACTGTAATAATTTGTTGGTATTGTAAAACGAGATAAATTGAAATCGAAGGGGTGGTATTTTTTTTATTATATTTATAAATTATTTATGAAGTGTGTACTATTAACTCCCAAACGATTTTTAAAAAATTATTATCATAAAGGTGTTCATTCTGATTTTGCACTCGTAATTTCTTGTATAAAAATCAGTCATAATAATTTCTCAAATAAAGAGGGAGAATTTAATAACGGCCATTTGATCACTCATAATAATTTCTCCAACAAAGAGAAATTCAAATAATTTCTCTTTAGATAATTCAAGAAAAATATTCGGAAAATTCAACGAGTAGAAAGAAAGGAGAAGAAGTTTGCGCTTCGATAATTCGAAAGACGTTGTGTTATGAGAGTGAGGAAGGAAAAACTAATAAATAGTTTTTTTTTATTTGAAATAAAACATGTGCACTCCTTATGTAGTGAAGTAAGCTAATTAATATTTCACATGAGCAATGTGGGACAAAATAGTTTTTCAACCACAAAAAATTCTAACAATGTGAGATTTAAGAAATTTTTAAATTCAACATATTGGAACATGGGCATGTTCCAACAATTCCCCACTTGAACTTAAATTAGTAATTTTAGAAGTAACGTCAAACGTTTCTAAGATTGTGCATAAACAAAAGTGTCTATGACTTGAACCTTTGCGTAGCAAATAGGATTTTGATTCAACAAGAGTGACACAAATGTCTTGAACACTATCTCAGACATCAAACTCGCACACAACTTTTTCTTAAGATATATTCTAATAGCTTGTGTTTTAATGGCTCTGCACGTGTATCCCGGTTTAGTGAAGGCTCTAGGAATTCTGCCTCGAAATTTCATAGGAACCAGCCTAAGTTCCACAATCACATAGGTGAGTTTATCAAGAGTACTCTTGTAGCCTAGGTACTCCCTCTTACAGAGTATAGATCTCATTAAGAGTTTCTATCATCTCATCCTCTTATCACTTCATGATTCATGCTTCTCGTATTCACATTAGCATGATCACCTCATATTACTCACAACTTGTTATTACCCATCGAACCTATTTCTTGGGATCTCCAATCATTTAGGTTGGGTTACTATCATGAGTAACACATGTTCCTATAGGAATTAGTCTCATCTTGTATGATGTATTATAGACTTTCTCCCTAGCTAATCCTTTCGTCAAAGGATCTGCTAAATTTTTATCAGTGCGTACATAATTCACTCTTACAGCTCCTTTAGAGATACAATCTCTAACAGTGTTGTGATTTCTTCTAATTTGACGTCTTTTACCATTATAATATAATCTCAACATAGTTGTGTTGGCTGAAGATTTTGATGATATTATTAGAAGCAAAGTAAATTGGACGTTTCGATTGAAATGAAACAAAACGTCATGTTTCGAAATGGTAGAAGCAATGCTTCGAATGAGCATATCAAAGCTTGGAGCTTCGAGTGACAATTATGAGAATATATCCAAAGAAGTCTCGAAATGACAATAAGGCTGTGTCTAAGAAATGCGTTCGAAGCGAAGAAGTGCCAAAACATTTGAAATTCAAATGCAAGCGGGATGTTCGAAATTTGAAATATATGCGCTGGAGCATTTGAAGACACGTGGAAGCAAGAGAGAGGCATTGCTCTGCATGTTCTGAACGTGGCAGAATCTTATAGCAAGACCGTTATGGTCGAAGTAGTATAAATAGAAGTCTTAGCATTAGGATTTCGTGTGTCATATCTATTGTACAAAAACACTCAGTAAACATTCAAATTACCACATGGCTAGGGAAACGAATGCAAGAGCAATGTACGTATGATAACACCACATATTTATGATTTAATGAAAACTCTTTATCATTTCCAATACTTTCCTTTATCTTTATGTCAATACCATTTACAAGTTTTTGCATTTAAAATGTTTTCATTCAAAGTCTTTTACTGATGCCTTACATTTAAATATTTTCTTTTTGTTTCAAACACTTTACATTTCAGAAACTGTTATACATTTTATGCCTTTATCTTCAAGTTTTTATCCTTCGAACACCTTTTTTATTTAAAGTCATTTTACAGTTTTCATGCATTAAACGCTTTCTTCATAATTCGAATCTTTTACATTCCAGAGCATCTTTTACATTAACTGTTTTTACATGTCTTTATAATTGACCTTTATTCATGCAATTTAGTTTCACGTACATTGATTTGATTATACCTTTAGATCTTTGATAGAGAAATCGAAATAAGTCAAACACCTACACAACATTCTAAATACAAACCATGAATACATGTTCGATCATGAGAGTTACCCTAATAACCAACACATCCTAGGATCAATCTAGTCGATCCTGCGAGTTACCAGAGAAATTGAATAACAGTCAGTAAGTTTATTCGATAGTTTGGAAGACTAGCGGTTATTTACCATAAATCACTGTAAACAAATTGGCACACCCGGTGGGACCAATCGTTGGACATTACGGAATTTAGAACAGAAATAAAGATTGTTGAGACGTAACCATTATAAAAATACCCTCAGAGTGATAAGTTTGTTGTTTTATGAACCTAAGAAGTGGTAAAATAACCAACAGCAACCAACCCTTATCCAGAAGAAAATGTTTGAACAAAATGTCTAATTCTGACAATCAACAAGGGGAACAAAATGCCCCACATACAACAGGCACTAATGCATCCGCTTCGATGGGAACGTCTAATGTGATCCCTTCGAATGCACAGTCTGTTGCATCTTCTACCAGTAATATAGCCACTAATGGAGTAAGTGGCATATCAACTAATAGTTCGATCTTAGGAAATACTGGAACCATTGGTTATCCTGGGGGATTCGTTCCACCATCAGGAACACAAACCCATTTCGTCACCCCACTAACTAGACCACCCGGTTTTGATGGTAATAGAACCAGAAACTCCTCTTATGGAATGCCAACATCTTTTATGGCAGGTTTACACAATTCCACATCGAATTCATCACCACAATTAGGATATGGGTCTGGGGCGAATCAGTTTATGACAAATAACCAAGGGTCAGTGGGTTATAGTGCAATGCCTATTTTAACCACAGAAAACCAGTTGGCCTTTAGGCAATTGATGGATGACAGTAACCATAATATGATAGGGGTATTAGCACAAACTATGCAGGAAATATTTGCCCCAATAGTACAAAATGTGACTGTGACAAACAGAGAAAACGCAGATAACATGAGTCGAATAGCAGATTTTTTTGCTCCCCCAGAGAGGCGTAGGCAGAATCAGGCGGGAGTTCGAGCAAACATACCTATTATGGAACAAGTTGCTAATGACCCAAACTATAGACCACCTAGAGAAGAAGTTAACTTGGGGGCAAGGGCACAAAGGCTAGAAGTCCCAATGATCCCAGGCCCACAAAGAGAAATTATGGAACCAGGAGCAAGGGTCGAAAGGCTGGAAGTCCCAGAGTTTCGAGAAGAACAACCTAGGGGGGTTGTCATGGTGGGTCGAAATCAAGATGCTGATGCAGTCGTTCATAGAATTCGAAACGATAACATCTTGGCAGAAAACAATTTAACCACCATGATAGAGAGAGTCATGGCCCAGAATGGCCTCAACACAGGAGTTAGAAGGCCGAATTATGCTTCTCCTATATTGGATTGCATAATGCATACTGATTTACCAAGGGGATATAAAGTCCCTAAGTTTACAAAGTTCGCTGGGGATACCAATGAGTCAACAGACGAACATATAGCCATATACCTAACCGAAGCGGGAGATATAGCCAATAATGAAGATCTCCGGATCAAATATTTCCCAAGTTCTTTGACTAAAAACGCCTTCACGTGGTTTACCACTTTGCCTCCTGGGTCCATTGATACTTGGGCTCTTTTGGAGAGATTATTCCATGAACAGTTTTACATGGGACAGTCAAAAATAAGCTTGAAGGAATTAGCCAGTGTCAAGAGAAAGTTCATTGAACCCATAGATGATTATCTGAATAGATTCAGGCTTTTGAAATCCAGATGTTACACAGTGGTGCCTGAACATGAGTTAGTCGAAATGGCCGCTGGTGGCTTGGATTACTCTATTCGAAAGAAACTAGACACTCAATATTTGAGGGACATGGCTCAGTTAGCCGACAGGGTTCGACAGGTCGAAAGGCTAAAGGCCGAAAAGGCCAGAGTCTTTAAAAATAACAAGAAGGAAAGGATCTCCTATGTTGGAACTGAGGAAGCAGAAGATTATCCTGAATTCGAATTCGAAGAGGTCGAAATCGACCTCGCTGAATTAAAACAGGCACCACCTTACTCCTGCAAATTATTAGTTCCCACAAAAGGGAAAGAGATTGTTGAAAATGAGAAAAGTGACAAATTCCCAAAGAAGGTTTATACCTTCGATGTCACTAAATGTGACGAGATTTTTGATTTACTTGTCAAAGATGGCCAACTCATTGTGCCATCAAATGTCAAAATACCTCCTTTAGATCAAAGAAAGAAAAGAGGATTTTGCAAATATCATAGTTTCCTAGGCCACAAAACCACACAGTGTTTTCTTTTCAGGGACCTAATTCATAACGCAATTAAAGATGGCAGACTGAAGTTTGCTGATAAAGCAAAAATGAAAGTGGACGAAGATCCCTTGGACGTCGCAGACACCAATTACTCCGAGCCTGCG